AAATCAGAGAGACTGGAGATGCGGTACTGGACAGGAGAGGGACAGAGACTTGGAGATTCAGTGGAGGCAGAGCCTTGGGTGGGGGCTACAGCCTCCATGAAGATTTCTGAACAATCTCAGACAGAAGGCCAGGGAAAGTGGGTACCAGTGCCCTGCTTCCTCTCTAAGCCCATTTCAGTTAGCTCCTTGACAGAATGATTGTTCCTGGGAGACCAAGCCACCAGCAAGGCAGCCTGGAATGCTTGGGAAGGGCCTCCAGGGAGTGTCCTGCTGGGAAGCAGGCAGCGTGTGAGTTTACATGTGCAGGCAGGTGGTCCAGGGGGAGCTGCTTGAACCTCGGGGGTTCTGAGCAGTGCCAGCCAGTGGCATTTATCTTCTTAAAGCCCAGAGTGTCTGGTCATTTGCTTTCAGCTCAGCAACTTCACCACACATTTCCACACTTTTAAAAAATCCTGTTTCTGAGCCCATAGGAAAATGAGCCCCAGCCCTGAGACATCCTCCAGGGCCTGAGGCTCATGTTAATCCCTAGGGCTAGAGAGGAGGGATGGGCCTTGGACTCTCTGCCATTCACCCTCTGCTGCTTACTCTCTTGCCAGTGCCTCTTCCTCTCCTCTTCAGTGTAGCCAGCCCGTAAAGCAAGATCCAGACATCATCTGCATTGGAGTCCTGGAAGGACCATGTCTGGTGTTAGAGCACCACTGTTTTGGAAGACAGATTTGACCCTTAGCCGTGCCCCTCTGCTCCCAGGAGGATCCTAAAGGGCCTTTCCAGCCTCCTAATCTGTCATCAACCCTTCCTTCCCACAAACCAAGACCCCTTGGAATGCTCTTAACACACCTGTGCCTTTGCCACCTGCTCTTTTTTCTCCCTGCCTCACTCCTTATCATCCTCTCAGACCCAGCTGGAGTATTCCTTCCTTAGTGACAATATCTCTGATGGCTTGCATTCCAGTCCCTTTGCTAAGGAACCTTACTTTGCTGTTATCTCATTTAATCATCACAATATCCTTGGGAAGTGGGTTCATTTTAGAAATGGAGAAATCAGTACTCAGAAAGTTACACATTTCACCTGAAGTCACACAGACTCGTAAGGCTAGTAAGGATGAGAGCCAGGATCTGATTATAAAGCCTGAGCTCCACGACACACACAGCATGGCATACATGGGTTGCAGAAACTCTCTTTCTGGGGAATGTGAATCTCACTCCCCACTGACACTGCCTGGATTTTATCTAAGGAGTTGAGACCAGCCCCTCAGTCAGGCAAACCTTTTCCCCTCTGGCCTCGCCTTCTGGACTGGGCAGTGGTTTCCATCCTTCCCAACTACCCATGATCCTTTCACATGTACAGGAGCCTCTTTTCTGGCTAATTAGTATAAGTTTTTTCTAAGATGGATAGACTTCTTTCTTCTCCCCTTTCATCTATCGCTGATCCCTCAGCTTACCTTTCCCAGAGAATTCTTGACATACTCCAAGTGGACAGGAAACAAACAAAGAAGTGACTGGGGCACTATATAGAAGTCTGAAGTACTCTTGGGGTAGAAAGCAATTGCAAATACTTTTGAGTCTGCCTTGAGGCCTTTTCCACCAGAGTAAGAATTTCAGCTTGATGGGGGAGATGTGGGTAGGAAAGGAGACAAGAGGCACTGACGCTGGCCCTGCCCAGCATTTCAACAGATTGGCCTAGAGGCCTGGGTCTGACTTCCCTGGTTCACACCCTTTTCCCAGGTGGTGTCCCACCCAATGTGGATCCTGAGGCCTACTCCTGGTTCCAGTCAGTGGACTCAGATCACAGTGGCTACATCTCCAAGAAGGAGCTAAAGCAGGCCCTGGTCAACTCCAACTGGTCTTCATTCAATGACGAGACATGCCTCATGATGATAAGTGAGTCCCAGCCCTTCCTCGTGGGATTGAGCTGGTGCACAGCCATTGACAGATGACAGTAGGTGGGTGGATGGTCACTTGGGAGAAATTCTTTGGCCAGGGAAAATTTCAGGGATAAAGTGGGGTTCAAGGTGATTTCCCCTAAATTGAGAGCTGTTTCTCTCTAGACTAATAAGTCATAGGCTGATTTGGTTTCCCATTCTGCAGATGGGCACTCCCACCCCTGGCAGGAAACGGCTGGGTGGGGGGCTCAGCATAGATCAAGTTCTTGGGGCTCAGCCTTCAACCCTGCAGAGAAAATGAAGTTCTGAGTGGAGTGGGGCCGAGGCAACCAGGGAAGAGGCTTTTTTAGCCTTTGATGCTCGTGTCTCAGACCTGCAGTCCTGTGGAGTCTTCTACTGCAGCCTGGGAAAGGGGCTGCTTCAATGGTACCCTTGGCCATCCTTTGCCTTCTCCCCCTCAGACATGTTTGACAAGACCAAGTCAGGCCGCATTGATATCTATGGTTTCTCAGCGCTGTGGAAATTCATCCAGCAGTGGAAGAACCTCTTCCAGCAGTATGACCGGGACCACTCAGGTTCCATCAGCTACACAGAGCTGCAGCAAGGTGAGGCCCATGCAAGGGCATGGTGGGCAGGGCAGAGCTGGACTCTTCTCTTTAGTTCCTAAAACAGAAACGTGTCCTTTCATGTGTCCACCCGTACCGCAAAATGCTGTCCTAGTGCAGGCCCACTCTTGGAGACTAGTCTGTGTGGCTCTTCCCTCTAGTTCCCAGCATATAGAATGGAAAGAGCCCTGAACAGGGTCTCAGAAAGCAGGGTTCTGCTGCCACCTCTGCCAGAGGCTGTTTCCTTTTTGTCTCCAGGACCCATAGCACTCTAAAATTGCAGTTGAGCCAGGTTTGGTTGTGCACACCTGTAGACTCAGTGACTCAGGGGGGCTGAGGCAAGAGAATTGCAAGTTTGAGGCCAGCCTTAGCAACTTTAACAGGACCCTGTCTCAAAAAATAAAAAGGACTAGTAGCTCCCTGGCAAGGCACTCCTGGGTTCAGTCCCTGGCACAGGGTGGGTATGGCGGAGGTGGAGTGGAGTAAAAGTTGAAGCTGAGTAAGATGACCTAAGAGCACAACTCCAAGTCTGGTTCTGATCCAACGCTGGGTCCACAGCCTGCCATCTGAGCCCAGACCAGTAGGTAGGAGGACAGGTAGCTTGTGTGGTTAGCTGCCTGTTAGAATGGGGCTAGCTATTGGTGAGAACCCAGTGGGGAGCTTCCTCACCTAGGAGAGGGGAAAAACTACAGAGAATCTGGTCCTTTGCCCTGGCCATGGGTTTCAGTCAGACTAAACAGGTGTGTGGTTGGTGAGAACCACTTCTGCCCCTGGCAAGAGGGAGGGAGGGATCAGTACTAGCACTACTCTTGCCAGCTTCTCTAAGGGAGATTTGGAGAAAGAGGGAGGGGGGCCTTCCAGCCAAGAGGAACCTCCAGACAGAGCCCCTCTTGTGCACCTGACCACCTGAACAGACCTGTGGGACTTCTCTGGCCTCCTCGTGCTTCCATGCCTGTATCCTAGAAGTCTCCTGCTCCATGTGCTCCAGTGCTGCTGGTCAGTGGAGTTGCTCACAGCAGGTTTTTGTGTGTCTGCTTTGTGTGCCCCTCCTCTCCAGCTCTGTCCCAAATGGGCTACAACCTGAGCCCCCAGTTCACCCAGCTCCTGGTCTCCCGCTACTGCCCACGCTCTGCCAGTCCCGCCATGCAGCTCGACCGCTTCATTCAGGTGTGCACCCAGCTGCAGGTGCTGACCGAGGCCTTCCGAGAGAAGGATACCGCGGTGCAGGGCAACATTCGGCTCAGCTTCGAGGACTTCGTCACCATGACAGCTTCTCGGATGCTATGACCCAGCCTATCTGTAGACAGTGGAGCACACCAAGGACCTTTCCTGGCTCCTTAGAGTGGGAGAAGCATGTGGGTCTCTCTTCTTTTCTTTCCCCTTCTAAAAAAATTCTCCCTAGCTTGATGCAGCACTGTTCCCAAAGAGGGTTGAGGATTCTGCATCAGAGCCACCAAATAATTGATCCCTGGACTGTGGCCATACAGGTAGGAAGGAGCCTGACCTAGGAGAGGACTGGAAATTGAGTGTCCTGACAGGCCTGAGCAATCGGCTGTGCCTCTGGCCCTTAGCTTCCCCCTCTGTGCACTGACACCAGTGATAAGTGTTCTTCAGCCTCTTACCGTTAGCATCTGCCTTCCCTCAGCGACTGTCCTGTAAGATGAGCCCAGCTTCTCCAAAATGGAATTTGACCAAGCTTGAGAGAGATTTGCCTGTGGGACCAGTGGCTTGGATTCCTGCTCATTCACATCCACAAGTCCTTGTGTGTTAACTTCTAACTGGAGGCTGTCCCTGCTCAGGGAGCTGGGACAGTCTGCCGTCTGGGTATCTCGGCCAGGCTACTGCCCTCCAAAGCTTGGACCCTTCAGTTGCCTGCCATGCTCTGCTCTGCTTTAGTTCCTGGAGGACAGATGTCACCTCCTACCGCCAATGCTGTTTTTTTTTTGTTGTTGTTTTTTTGTTGTTGTTATTTTTTAATGTGTGAGTTATCATATGGGGCCAAAAGTCTAGTGAAACTGTAAGCTTCAATAAAAGAATGAAATTCTGTAGTCCCATGCTTTCCTCCATGACTTCCCAGCCACCAGTTCCTACACATCTACCCACTTATTTATTCTTTCATTCAGCAGATATTTAAGTCCATACTGTCTACCTAGCCATGCAGAAAGAAGCAGCCTGGGGGCTGAGACTGACAGGGCTCCCCTCACTTGTCAGGGTGAACCTGAGGTGTTGGGTGGCTCCTGGGCCCTGCCAGGTGTACTTCCATACAGCTGGGGGTCAGCCCGAGAGTCTATTTCATGGAAGTTGTAGGGCTGGCCTTTGGGGCTGGAAGCAGCCACCCCAAGCTTTGCACAGCATGGCCTTTTTATTATCTCAGGCATGAGTTTTATTTTCCAGACAAACTCCATTTATGAAGTCATAACTTCTCCCCTTTTTTATTAAGTACAGACGTCTGTACCTGCCAGTTGGATCTCTAGATCAGCATGACACCCAGACTACATTGGGTGTCTATAATGAACTGACAGAATTTCAATCAAAAGCTAAAGACACCAGACATTCTAATGTACCAGGGGGGCCTTATCACAGGAGGTGGTGTGATTATCCTTTGACTTTTGGAGATGAAGATAAGCACTCTGAGGCCTTTAGCAGGGCTATCCTTCCTGCAGAGGGTGAGGGGTGGTGTGACTGTTTTGCAGGCCAGTGAGGCCCAGCAGGCATGGCCGGCTCAGTCTGTTCAGCCTTCTTCCTCTCCTCTGGGCTCTGTGGTGCTGGAATCCCACAATTAGATGGAGCCAATTCTCAAAGGACAACCCTCATCCAGAGCTAGAATCCCCTCCAGGGTCCCCATGGGAGTCCAGTCTCTTCTTTTAATTCTCCAGTAACAAAAAACTCAGGGCTTTTCCAGGTAGCCCATTTCCTCCTTTACTGGTAGAAACTTCCTGATGTGCATCCTAAAATTTGCCACCTTGGAAACACCAGCCATTGGCTCCAGTTTTCTCTTTTGGGCCACCTGGGACATTCGTTTCCCCTTCTGCATGCCAATCCTCTAGACAGTGAAGCCTGCCACCACATTACCCCAAGACCCCTAGGCCAAGGAAGCCCCAAGGTCTTCAGCTGCTCCTCACTGGGCATCACTCCCCTTGCCATGTCCTTTAGTTCATCAGTCCCCAAAGTGGAAGCCTAAGACCCCCTTTTCTGGCTCCATCCTGCAGAGCAGAAGCAGAACTGCAGTCATTAGAGGAAACTCCTATTGTCTCTGTTTCTGCTGAGCCAAGTGTCCACTGAAAACTCTTTAATTTTTCTTTTTTCATGGTGCTGGGGATCACACCCAGAGCTTTGCACATGCCAGGCAAGTACATTACCACTGAGCTGCAGCACTGCCCCAAACCTGTCTTTAGAATGGTGCCAATCACAGTCCCTATCTCTGTGGTCAGGGCAGTGGAGGGCTCCAAGACCTGGGCTATCCTTGTGGGTCTGGCCCTGGGGCCTGGTCCTCACACTTTGTTCTTGCACCGTGCACCTCCAACCCTGCCTACAAACTTTGCCAACAGCCTTGGACCCCAAGGGCAGTGGGAACATGAAAAGGACAGGACAGCCTGTCGCTCCTGGCAACCATTGCATGTCCACTGACAGCTGGAGCTGGGCTGGCAAGTCTTGAGGGCCTGTGACAAGCAGCACACTGTCCACCTGCTCGGGGCAGGGTGGGACTCCTAAGAAGCTGTGCCTAGGCGCTCCTGGGCGGGCCCACAGCTTGCCCTGCTTCTTAACAGGTGAGGTCGGGGAGCCCGGGACTCCATTAATCAAGTGAAGCAGACCTGGTGGCAGGCACGGCCGCATCAGCCTCGGCCAGATGCCTCCCGTTCCTCTCAGCAGAGCAGCACTCCAGACTGCACTCCCATCTTGCTCTGGCAACGAGGATCAAGGCCTCTGGCAGCCCTGTAATCCGCTTGGTAGCAGCCGGAGCACATCCGGCCAAGTCTGTGGCTTTCTCTTTTTATCCTGTGAGTTCACAGAAAATAAATGAGACCCTGGTTTCCAAGAAGGTGAGGGAACAGTAAATCAGTCTGTTAACCCGCTGTCTGCCCACCCTACCCCCTTACCTTCCAGAGACCACCGAGTTGGGAGCCAACAAATGTGTCAAGAATTAAGGTCCCAGGCATCAAGGGCTTGGCACCACTGCGGAGGCAGCACTGAGCATACCTGAGGCATGGTCCATCTGGGATCCCACGGGGAGTAGGGGGCAATGAGTAGACGCATTCCAGTGTCTTGTGTCACCTCCCCCAGCTGCCCCACCTTCCTCTCCTCCTAACCTAAGCAGCACAGATTTTGTGTAATGACAGGGAAAGGGAACATTCAGTGCCAGGCTTTTAATTACAATTGCTTTGGGCTGCTGGCTTCCAAGCCGAACGGCCACACATAGATGTTTTATCACACCACAAAGCCATCAGGTCCAGCTATGGTGTGTGTACTGGGCACCTGGTGACATGGGGCTGTGTTCATAACCCACCAGGGAAGGGCTGGGCCCAGATTGGTTCACACAAGCACAGAGCAGCTGGCCAAGTACAGCCCTGGGCATTAGGGAGCCCCTGGAGCAGATGGAAACACCTGTGGAGACCTTTACAGCAGACTCCAGGGAAGGCTTATAATTGGGCAGGAGAAAGTTCTTTGGGAGGAAGGCCAAGCTCTGGAAAGATGATGGGGGTGGATAATACTGCGGGGTTCGGCCAAGTGAGAGAAGTACAACAGTAACCAAGTCCACAGCACTTCACAGTTGACAAAGAGCTCTCCACTCTCTAGAGCATGCTTAAGCCTCACATCAACCCTGCCTAGGGATCACAAGCTCAGAGAGGGGAAACCACTTGCCCAGAGTCACAGGGGCAGAAAACCAGGACTCCACCCGGAGCCTGTCACTGCATCCAGCAGTCTCTCCATGAGGCACAGGGATGAATCCCAGGACCCAGAGGAGCAACCCAGGCAGGGCCCACTGAGCCTCCCAGAGCCTCCAGGGTAGCCCTCCCTCACGGCAGCACTGTGGTGACGCTGGTGAGCACCACATGCTCGGAGACTTTGGAGACGGAGCACCGGCTCTGCAAGGACAAGGACTTGTGGCTGGCAGAAGAGCGGGGACTGGGGGCCTTCAGAGAGCTGCAGGGACCCAGGCCAGGCAGGCAGCAGGAGAAGGCGGCCTTAAACTGCTCCCGGAATTTACCTTGGTTAGGAGACAAAAGACACAGCCATAAGGAGACAAACGCAGCAGGAAGGGACCTTGAGCCCACACAGCTCCAGCCAAGCTGTCTGAGAGGAGGCTGGGAGGGAGGGTAGAGTTGGAATGGAGAGCCCCAGCAACCTCGGCACTGCACGGGGAACGAGGACAGAGGCCCAAGCGGCTTCCCAAAGAAAAATGCAATTATCATCTGATTCCTTGGCTTCTGGCTCAGAGCCTGGCTCAAGGCGTCTGGCTCAGGGGCCGTGGGTCACCTCGGCCCCACTCTGTGTGCACATGGAGAGGCTTGGGGCTTACTCTGCTGCCAGGCTTTCCCCAGATCTCCTGTAAGATGATGAGATGGCAGCAGCAGCCCTTGCATGTGGCAGTCCCACTGTGCCAGGCACAGTAACAGCTTCCCCAGCGTCCATCCCCCCAGAGCATCCCAGCATCCTGAGAGGTCATAGGGCTTTATCCTCACCTCACAGAGGAGATGCTCAAAGACACAGGCTCACCCAAGGCCACCAGTGAGAGAGAAGAGTGATCACCACACCCACACCAGCTCAGCCCACTCTACCAGGGGAATGCGGAACCAAGCCCTCCTTGACCATGTGTCACCAGCCTGCCAGCCGCACTGGTGCCCAACATAGGCCAAGCACACAGTAGGTGCTCAGTAAATGTAGTCCAAGCAAAGAGGTGTGATTCAAGAAGTCTGCCTGCCCTTTCCTCCCCACAATGCTCCTCTCTTGTGTTCTCTCCCCTGAGCTAGAACCAGCCAGGCAGCCTTTGGGAGTAATTTTTGGGTGGCATTGAGGATTACATAATGACCTCCGATAGCTTCTTGAACATCTTAACTGTTTCTGAAAAATTATTTGTGTCCAGACTTGAATGGCCATCTAGACCAGCTCCTTAGAAGCCTAATGCTAAATATGAGGTCTAGCGAGTCACTTCTGCTGTGCCAAGCCTGAGGGGTCAGGCCACTACCACCCTCCTGGAGGCCTGAAGGCAGAGTGGAGATGGGGGCTACAGGACAACAGACACGAAGCCCATGGTGGGAGTGAGGGCCTGCAGGCCTGGACTTCCGGAGGTGGGAGAGAGAGGGCAGTGCTGGAGGCCGTGGATCCAGGGTAAGCCCCTAGATTCCTGGGGCGTCTGCTGGATGGCCGGGAGAGCCCTTTCATGGGACTGAGCTGCCTCTGCTGGTGGCTCTCCCTTACCCTGGGCCCTGGATGATACACCATCCCCTCAGCCGGACTCCTGGGCTTTCTTCCCACAGGCCTGGCTCCCTCTGGGGAAAATAGACTATTCTGCCTGTATTGACCAGAGAGGGGCATGCCCCCAGGCTGGGAAGGGAAGTGGAGGCCACTGGCCCAGCCCTTGCCCTTCTGTGGTCTGTAGGATCTACCAGACTCCATCCTGGGTGCTGGCCACTGCTGGAGCCCAGGCTTCTGGGTGTGACCTAGTCTTTCCTGAGTGGGGGAACCCAGAGCAGAGGCGTGATGCTCAGGAGAGAGTAGGTATATCCTTGCCACCATCCTTTCCTTGGGCCCTGGATTGACAGTGGGGACACTTGTCCCAGGGACTGCTGGCCACCCTCATTCACTCTGCCCAGCCCACTCACCGCTGAGGAAGTTGTAGATGATGGGGTTGGCGGCGCTGTTGGCATACACCAACCAGTGGGAGAAGGTGAAGCAGGCGTACACAGCTTCGCGGTCGCTGGCTTGGCGGAACATCCCGAACACCCTAGTGCCAGGTGGAGGAGTCAGAAAGGGGCAGGTGTTGGGGGTGGTGCTCACGGAACTCCAGCTGGGAAGGGCAAGTTTCCCCCGCCCACTTCTGTCCACTCAGTGGCCTTTCCTGGGTTTCCAAGTCTGAGGTCTTGCCTATAGTTTTGGGTTCTCAAGCACAGAAAGTAGGACCACAGAGGGCCTAGGGACAGACACCAGGTATATGTGCCCAGTCTCCAGCTACCTAATCCCCTGGAGTCCCCATCCACCTTCTCATCCAACCTCACAGCGACATGAGGAGCCCCGGTCAGCATCTATTCTTCAGCTAAGGAAACTGAGGCTCAGAGAGTTGAAGTCCCAAGATCACACACCCAGGACACAGCCAAGCACAAACCCAAACAGGCTGACTCCTGCCCAATAGCCTATGTACTTCCCCAGAATCCTGTGGCCCCTCATCTGCTGTGTCCCTGTGTACCTCTGCCTCGACTGCTGTCCCTCCAGATCCCTGCAGGCTGACTCCCTCACTTCCTCCAAGTCTCTGCTCAAGGGTCACTTCCTTTTGTTTTTATAAATTAAATCTAAAACAAGCCGGGCACCGTGGCACACGCCAGCCACTCAGGAGGCTGAGGCGAGAGGATCATGAGTTCAAAGCCAGCCTCAGCAACTTAGCAAGACCCTGTCTCTAAATGAAATATTTTTTAAAAGGGCTGGGAAGGGGCTGGGCTTGTGGCTCAGCCATAGAGCCTTCACCTCGCACATGAGGGGCACTGGGTTCGATTCTCAGCACCACATAAAAATAAAATAAAGGTATTGTGTCCAACAACAACTAAAACAAAATATTTAAAAAAAGAGCTGGGGATGTGGTTCTGTGCCTAAGTCCCCCTGGGTTCAATCCCCAGTATGCCCCCCAAAAAAAGTCTAAAACAGAAAAACCATTTTCCCTATTTTCTTTTTCTTTATAGCAATGATCACTGCCTGATAACACACATGAGTTTTTCTATTTTCCTCCTCTCCCACTACAGTGTAGTCCCCACGAAGAGAGGGACTTTGCCTTGTTCACCCTGGAACGTGATGCTTGAGGAGTGAAGGGACGGGTTTTCACGACAGCCCAGAGCCATTACTATTGCTATACCATTTAATGAGCGAGGACATGGAGGTGCGGGGACTCAGGGAAGAGAAGGATCTGTCCTGATGTGGGGGGCCAGTAGAGCTCCTCCCACACCCTCCCACCTTTGGCTGCGCTCTCACCTTTTGAGGACATTGAGGACACTGATGGGCAGGTAGCAGAGGGCAAAGACCAACAGCACCACCATCAGCATCTTGGCTGTCTTCCTCCGGGCCCGCATCTGCTTCACCTCCGCCAGGAAGGCACGGGCCCGGGGCTGGGGCTGTGCACTGGGACCCTGCCCCTGGTCCTCCAGCTGGTCTGAGGGTCTCTTCCAGTTCCGTACCAGTGCCAAGGTAGTGCCTGGGATCTGTCCAGCACACACAGAGAGCAGTGGTGGGCATAGCTCTTTGGCAGGACTGATCTCTTTGGGTGGGTCCACTCCTAGCTAGACCCTGGGGCAGAGTGGAGGTGGCAAGGAACGAGCTCTTGCAAAAGGAGGGAACCCAATATTCACAATAAAGATGAACACTCTGGACTTGGTGATTAATATACTCTCATTTTGCATTATCTCACTGCAAAACCACCTACGGCATGCTTTTGAAAAGGCATTATTGATTTTTAGCTGTAGATGAGACAATTGAGACTCAGAGAGAGGCGGAGCCTCAGGCCACAGCCTCAGGTCTGAACATCTCCTGGCTGCCCATCCATCCTCCTTCAATATCCAGCTGCATCTGTGGGGACAGGGTGTGGGTGGGGTGAGCTGGGCCTCTCCCTGGCCCATATCAGACCGTGGGGAGGCCTAGGTCAGGGGTGAGCAGGAGGGCAGCAGTGAATGACCTGGGCCTCAGAGCATGGGTCCCCCTCTGGGTTGATGCCCATAATCCTGGGGTGGTTCTGGGCTCTTGGAGCAGCCAGAGACATCCTTGAAGACCCTCCTGCCTCTAGACACCTGGATCACCCCCCATCAGAGGAGGATGGGGCTAGAGTGCAGGAAACTTGGCATCCAGAGCTAGTCAAACATTCATGAGCTGTGAAACAATCTCATCTAACTTTCCAAGCCTTGGTTTCTTGTCTGTTAGATGAGGTCAGTGCCTCTGTCCTGCTGGACAGGGGGTCTGGGAGGGGCAGGTGGCAGGCGTTGGGAGCCTGCAAGGCAGGCCAGTATGGAAAGGCCCCACCTGACTGGGCATCTTTCCAAAGCAGGGCTCGGGTCTAACCAATCTCACCACCCACCCTGCAAGGTCTGGGTGCCGTCAACACTGTGTGGAATGTAAGTGGTATTCCAGAAGCGAGTGTCCGTGCCCGAGCCTGGTCACTCTCTGGCCTGCATCCTCTCACTGCCCCAGCACTGACCAGGGAGTTAATTCCACTAGTGCTTAGGGCCTCTGAGCACCCCTCTCCTCATGACCCCCCAGCAGGAAACCCACTGCAGAGCCATTTGTAATAGAGGAAAGAAGCCAGGCCCTGGGACCGGCTCTGCCCCTCATTGGCCTTGGCAGGAGACTGCCCTTGCTCAGCACTGTGACGCAGGCAACAGCATGTCTTTTTTAGGTAGCGGTGAAGACACTGGATACAAAGCTTCACCAGGCAGAAACTCAGAGCTGCTGTTAATGTTTCAGAGATAAAATGAGTATTAGAAACTTACAGATCCAGGTTTCAATCCCTGATTTTCTACTCTCTAGCTGAGGGCTTTGGGGGACATGATGTTCTTTCTCTGTTTTCTTACGTATTTCATGGAGGATAAGATACGGAGGTTAAGAGGTTGCAGGATTCCCTGGGGGTGATGGAACATAAATGGCAGCTACTGGTAATGGAGTTACCAAGAGTTAGGCCTAGCACTCTAGGTTTCAAGTTCCCCAATGTCCCCACGTCCCTGGGCCTTGCCTCTTTCCAGTTGCAGCCAGGATAGCATATTCTGAAGGCAGAGGGTGTCTACTCCCTGAGGCCAGTAGCCCCCCACCCCTCTCAGTATAGACAGTGCCCAAAAGAGCTGGCCTCACCTGGCGGCCCCAGAGCTTGCGGAAGATCTGGAAATAGGCCATGGCCATGAGGCCCAGTGGGGCCAGGTAGGTGACAATGAAGAAGCAACTGTGGTAGATCTTGGGGTACAGGTCATCTGTAGGGGCCAAGAGATGTAAGGGTCAAGCTCAGCATGGGGGCCCCAGGCTTACCTGGTTGGCAATGCCACCCTTCCTGTGTAGGGCAAGGCCTGAGTGCAGCTGAACCTCCCCCATGCTGGCACCATGGCAGGGAGATCGCCTGGAGTCACCCAACCTGCAGTGTCTATCCTGGAGGGACCCCTAGGGATGGACAGATGTCTGCCCTATGGGTATGTGTCCTGGAGGTGCCCACTATTACCTGCCCAGCGTTCGTCACAGACAGAGAAGAGCCGGGTTCGGTTGGCTAGTTCAGGCAGCACACTGCTGCATTCCATGACAGCAGCCTGGGGGACCATGACAGCCAGCGACACGGCCCAGATGCCCAGGATGGAGCCACGGGCACGCCGGGCGGTGCTCTTGAACAACAGTGGGTGGCAGATGGCATACCAGCGGTCCAGGGCAATGAAGCTGAGAGTCAGTACTGCCACTGACACTGACACGGCCTGCCCCACAGGGACACAGCATCAGAGATATGAGGGGGAACAGCCCAGAGATAACAGACATCCCAGTGTGGTGCAAATTCTGACTCCATTTAATGGCTGTGTGAATTTGTGCAAGCTACTCACCCTCTCTGAGCCTCATATGCAGAATGGGAATATACCATGTACCTGGCAGGATACTGGTGAGAATAAATGAAATTGTGAATGGGAATGCTCAGCTGGAGACCTGGCATATAGTAGGTGTTCTCCTACTGTGAATAATTACCTCCATTTATGGAAAGCATTACGTGGCAGGCACCATTCTCATGAGGTGGGTACTGTGTTACAAATGAAGAAACTGAGTACAAAATTCCCTCCTCTGTCTTTATGTTTAAAGTCTCCAGAGTTAATCAATTGAGTGGAAAACCTTGAAACAGCGCAAAATCCAAGAAGCATTTCTCTCACCCTGGAATGCCACCCCTTCTCTAAATTGTTAGGAGAAGGAGGCAGAGATGGGTCCGGACCAGTATCATGGGTAAGCATGGCCTCCAGGGCTGCCCCCTGCTTCTGGGGTGCAGGGAGAGGGTCCAGAGATAAATCAGAGAGGCCACGGCCAGCCTCTGGCTGGCACTCCTTCTCCACAAACCTCATCAGGTGCCCTGGTTCCCACTACAGGGAAGGCAGTGGATAGTCCCCTCAACTCTGCCCCCCTTGGGATCAGGGTGCAAGCCCAGCAAGTATTGGTGTTTGTGTCACAGTGGGCTGATGCCTCTCTTCTCTGCTGTGTGCCTGGAGGTCACCATGGATGCGTATGTGGTGTGGCAGTGTTTGGGACCAGGAGTTCTGTGTAGGAGCATGTGGAGCTGTGGCTGTGTCCTCAAGTGCTCACCCCAGTAACCTGTCCTTCATGGCAGTAGGGGATGACAGTGCATTGGTCTTGAGCCACTGTGTCGTGCCTGAAAGGCCAGCCAGAGTCACTGAGACCTCTGGAAGATGGTGGTTTTCGTGTAGGTGTGACAGAGGCTGGTGAGGGGTTCCTGAAGAGCTCACCTGTAGATAGGGGATGACCTTGCAGAGGGTGTGGCCAAAGAGCCAGGACTCGGTGATGTCCACTAGTAGACTAGCGGGCAGGCAGATGGCCGTCACCAGCACGTCAGCCAGCGACAGGTTGACAATGAAGTAGTTGGTGACTGTCCTCATGTGGTGATTCCGCCACACGGCCAGGCAGACTGCAGCCAGCAGCCAGGGGGCCAGGGCAGTGAAACCTGAGTCAGAGCCACGCCCACCCCTCCCCGCCCAGCCAGTGAGCCCCTGTCCCCGCGAGCAGGAGAGGGTCAGACGGGACCGGGACTCACCCCCCAGTCCCCAGAGGAAGCGTTACAGGAGAGGGCAGGACCGAGACCTACCCAGAGTGTTGCCCACCAGGGCCACGAGGAACACGGCCACGTAGGCGGCGATGAGGACCCACTCGTACTGCTTCGGGTACAGATAATCGCGCCACAGATAGCGGAGAAACTCGTCTTCGTAGTCTGGTGGCACGCGGGACGGCTCCCCGCTACCAGTTGGGACCTCCGTCTGGGCCCCTGGGGCTGCCGAAGGCTCCATGAGCTCAGGAGCCGCTGCAGCCGAGGGGTACCCTGGGCTCTGCGAAGGGAGGGGAGCCCGGCCAGCCCTCAGCCCACTCCCCTCAGGGGGCCCGCTTCTTGCACCCAGGTCTTTGGGGTCCCAGCCCAAACTTCCTGAAGGAAGGAAGGAAGGAAGGAAGGAAGGAGATATTAGGGAGTGTGCCTGGCACTTTGCATATGCGCTCCCTCTTAATTGTCAGTATCAAATCCGTGGAGGAAGGCAGATCTGGGTTGATCCCAACTCCACACAAGTTGCTTTTGGGTAACTTACCTCGCCTCTTTCAGCCTCGATTTCCCCATTCAATGGAGTCCAACGGAGTAATAACGGTACCTACCTCCCAGGTCGGCGGCGAGGAGTAAGGAATGAGTTCTATTGCGCGCTAAGCGCTTTGCCCAAAGCCTGGCACTGGAAGCTAGCCTCACGGACGTTGCCGAATACCATTATTAGGGAGCCTTGCTTTGTGAATGGGCAGATGGAGGCTCAGAGAGGTTGAGCCCCTTGCTCAAGGTCACAAAGCTACAAAGCCAGGTCTGTCTGGATTCGCGGAACACCACAGGGGTGGGAAGGGAAGACGTACGGATTACAAATATTCTCTCTTGAGTTAGCTCAAGGGCCTTAATTTTTTATTAGAAAAAGAATTGAGGCAGGTATTAGAGATCCAGGCTGCTCCCACCAGACCCGCCTGACTCCCCCCCACCTCGTGGGTGTACACACACACACACACACACACGCACACACACACACCAGGAAAGGTGCGAGGAGGAACAGAGAACTTCCTTGCGAGCGAGAGGAGAGGCCAGGGCCCAGCGGCCAGGCCCTCAGACCCTCTGCCAGGCCCCTCGCAAATCGCCGCGGCGCAGTGCTGGGGACCGCCGCTAGCGGCCGCTCTCTCCATTCATAAATCCGGCCTCGCTCCCGCCCCTCCTTCCCCCCTCGGACCCCTCCTTCCTTTGACTGGGCAGAAGCGACCCCGGGGTGTGTAGTAGGGTTGACGGTCCCTGGAGACCCCCGGGGGAGCGAGGGTACAGGGGCCGAACAGCTCCCTCCGCGGGATCTCCCTGCACCTCGGGGACTGCGGGGAAGGGGTGCAGGGGTGCAGCAAGACCCCTGGGTGTTCCGCAGCAGCCTGCCAGGAGGCGAGCAGGGTGGGATGGTGACCCAGCCTCCCAGCGTCCAGATCACTCCTGGACTCTTGGTCCACCCATCTCCCGTCGCAGGTCCTTTGGAGCCCTCACCCCCGGGCCGGGGTCCCCCACTCTCCGCACCTGTTGGCTCCGGGACCCGGGCGTTCTCGCTTGCTGGTTTCCAGACCTTGCACCCGGGACTCCGCCTTCCTCCGGGGAAGACGGACTCCTGGAGAATGCGACTAGGGAGGGGGCCGGGCAGCCCCCTCCCGAGGCGGCCGGGCAGCCCCCTCCCGAGGCGGCGTCGCCTGGCTCGCTGGCAGGGAGCAGCCCGGTTCCAGCGCGGGCAGTGGCTCGGCGAGGGTTCCGCCGGGCTGCGCCGCCGCGGGGAGGGGGGCCGGGAGGGAGGGGCAGGGCGGGGAGGGGAGCCCCAGCCTGTCTCGCAGCCCGAGACCCGGAGGGCGGAGGGAGAAGCTCATCCCTCCCCGCCTGTCACTTCACGCTTCCATCCCACCTCCATTCATGCGTCCATCCGTTCATTCATACCGTCGGCATTCATTCAACATTTATTCCACCGCCACCCCCATTTGGGCGCATCGACTGCATCCCCAGGGCACCATTGGGGGGCCACAGGGCAGAGGTGTACCCCAGCCCCACCTCTTCTGGCTACCTTACCTAGCTGACGAGGATGATGGCATAGGTGGGTCTCAGGGGTAAGGATGCCCGCGTCACCTCCAGCCGAGCTTTGGATGCTGCCAGAGCAACTAGCTCCCAGCGATGCCCAAAAGCCCTGCTCTCTCATCTCCGACTCTCTGCCCCAAATCCTTCTTTCTGTTCATACCTACTTCCCCCTCCCAAGACCGACATGAGTTGGAGGCAAGAGAGGGGGTGCCAGAGGGGCTCATTAATTCAACAAATATTTACTTAGCTGTGTGCTGGTCAATGAATAGTAATAACACAGCTCCATTCCTATAGAGTGGTGAAATGTGATCTCATGAAACCGTCACATCAACCTGGTGAGGGTGTTTTTATTCCCACTTTACAGATGAGGACCCTCTGGACACACTTGGCTCAGTGTTTTGCCAGAAGTCATCCAACAGAGGCAGAGCTGGGTTCAAGCCTGTGCTCCTCTCAGATCTAACAGACCTGACCACCAAATAGAGGCTCCCCAACCCTCCAAAGGCTCTCTGGTTGCTGGAGGAAGGCAGGTGCACAGCCAGGCAATTCACCTATGGGTTCCCTAGAGCCGGCCCCTGGGGCTTGGGATCCTGAGACACAGCAGATGGGCTGGGCCAGGGCTTCCTCGAGACCTGAAAAATGAGAAGGTGACCCCGCAGAGGAGGGCGTTGGCAGTAGGTCAGAGGTCCTCATGGTAGAGGAAGTTGCAGGTGCAAAGATTTGCAAGTTGGGCTTCCTGGAAATGGCAGGTAAGTGAAGAGTGACCTCATGGGCCTCAGGCAGCCATTCCCTGTCTCAGAACATTAAACCCCGCCCTCCTCTCTCACCCTCTGAGGCTCACACTCCTTCCCTCCTAGAACTTGGCTCCTGAGATATAAACACCATCTTCCCTTAGCAGGGAAACCTTTTCACAGGTGCTGGAGATGCGCTGTTAGGCACAGAACATGTGGGCGGGAGCCGGGCAGCTATGGAATGGCGCCTGACCTCCTCTGCAAAACAGAAAGGAGCACTGAAGCTAAACTAAGGCACAACTTTGTCCTTGGGCAGCCACAGCATCTGCACGAGGATGATGGGTAATAGAGACCTAGGATTCAAAACCGTCCTGCCTGCTTTAGGTGTGGCAGAGGTAGAGGCATGGATGAGGGACTCGAGGAGAGGGGCTGGCGTGTGTGTATACGCATGCGCACACATATGTGTAGAGGACAGGTACTAAGTTGGTGACTGGGGGTCACCTGGGTGGGATGTGTGTAGATGTTGATTTGTATTTTGGTGTGTGTGTCAGTGAGGAGTGTGTGTTGGGAGAGGGTATGTCTGTCTCTTTTGTGGGTCTAAATGTAAGGCTGTGACCAGCCTTGGCTTGCCAGCGCATTGCTCTGTGAGTGTGAAAATGTGAGTGTGGTCATGCCTTTGTGTCCATGGCTCTGTGAGTGTGGGAATGTGGAACTTGGTACATCTGCTCCAGTGACGATGACTCATCCCTCCATGTTAACCCCCTCCCCCCATCTAGAGCTGTGACAGGCTTTGCCATTCAGGGGCTGGGGAGGGGGCTGCAGCATGTGGGGAGATGGAAGGCAAATCCTGCAGGGACATTTAAATGACAGCTGCAGCAAAACAAGGTACAGCCGCTGATGCGGAAGGTACAGATCCATGTGTCTGCGTGGGTGGTGGGTACCAGCTGAGCCCAGCCCAGCCAGGCTTAGAACTCAACAGCTTAGGGCCTCCCAGACACCCTGGATTGGAATGAGCAAGGGGCTCCTCAGGACCCACCAGATCACTGTTCATGAGGGATGTGTCTGTGTGTGCACATTCAGACACACAAAGAGAGCCAGATGCCCCCCGCCCCCCCCCACACACACATACTCCTTACAGACACAATCGTGGCTGAGATTTGCCCAACCCCACCCAAAATATCCAATTTCCCATAGCCCATCTCCCCTTATGAGGGGGTCCCCAATTGCCAACCTTTCCCCCTTTTTATCCTTTGGCACCCCAAAAATAGCTGCTCCCCAGGACAAGTGACCATGAGCAGCTCCCTAAGGAGGCAGATCACTTTTCCTCTGCTCTCAGACCCTGGCCGGCAGGAGGCTCTGGGCCCCAAGTCCCTCTGGTCCTGAGTCTGGCCCACTCAGCTGCACCTGAGAGTGGGAGAAGCCATTCAGTGGCCCTCATTGCACATGAGGGAGACACCCCTGGGTGTGCTCAGAGGAAATGCTGCAGGCCGGAGAGGCCAGTGGCCCTCTAGAAGCCCCACAGGGACTGTGGGGAGCAGCATAGCACGGGGCGCTCCTGGCAAAACATCTGTGCCTAGAAGAGAACCTTGGGTCATCCATCTCAGGCTGGGCCCTCAGCCCTGGCGCCTCTTCTACCCAGGGAGGGCCAGCCTTGGCTTTGCTGGAGCTGTCTGTCAACCAGTGCCCACATGACCTCTTTCCTGGAACCAGCCAGCCCCAGCCTTGTTGATCTAATCCTGAGCCTCTGAGCCATAGGTCCCTGTCACATCCATCTTCAAGTGTCAGCCTGGGCAGTGGCCCCAGGTGCTATCTCCCCCTCCATCCCAATTCCAATGAGACTTACAGTAACCTTTGTCTGGCTGGGACTAGAGCAATTGAAATGTAATTGGGTTTGCAACTTGCTAATGCTGCTGTAGCCTGGGGATGTGGGTGGGAGACGCTGGGAGGGCAGAAGTGCTGTTTAGGACAGAGATCAGAAAACAAGCAGAGATTGGGGGAGAAGGCAGCCACGACTGGGCTGTGGGTCCAGAAAAGGGGTTCTGAAGTCTGGGTCATGGGAGACCCATGACCAGAGGAATGAGGAATCTATGGGGTTTTTGGTCCTTGGGCCCATGACTGGCCTCTGGCTTCTGGGAATGCCTAGCCAAGTGCTCCTGCCCCTGGGAGGGAGCCATGGACCTCACATACCCTGCCACCATCCTTTGTTCCTCCTTCCCCAGGGAAAGCCTCCTCCTTCAGGTCTGGGTGGCTCAAAGGGACCAGCATCACTGGGAGAGCAGGAGCCCAGGGCCTAGAGTCAGGCCTCCTCATGACCTTAAAAGCTAAAGAGCATCCTCAAGCCAGGGCTGGAGAAGGCAGCCCCTGCACCCACAAACACTGATGGTCCCTGGAATCCCAGTGGTTCAGGAGGCTGAGGCAGGAGGATTGTGAGTTCAAATCCAGCCTCAGCAAAAGCAAGGCACTAAGCAACTCAGTGAGCTCCTTTCTCTAAATCAAATACAAAATAGGGCTGGGGATGTGGCTCACTGGTCAAGCGCCCCTGAGTTCAATCCCCAA